ATTTATTTAAGGGCCCTCCCTGTGGGTTAAAACACAGCACTAAGAAGCTAAAGCCCCCTCAGCATGAGTTCAATCCCCACCCCGGAGGTGACCCACATGGTGTGGCAGATCTCTCCTGACAGTGTACTTCGTTGATCTGCCTGTTCTGCTCCCCACTCTGTCTCTGGTGAATCCTCCCACCACCCCTGCACCTCTGGCCTGTACCCCAGCTCTGTATCAAGGTAGTGAGGGGGCAGTAGGCTACCACCGTGGAGTGTTAATTGTTCTTTTCAAAATAGCTTTTCACACAGCAATTTGTTTTTGAGTGTTACGAGGAAATATCTATTTTCAAAGAGCTGATGTTGCGCTAAAAAAACAATTTCCATTTCCATTTCAGCAGAAGTCCATTCCCTCTCTTATTGTAAGTATTATCCTTTACTTTCTCTGTCAGTAAAAAAAAGCAATGAGTTATTTCCAGCTCCCCCCCCCACAGATGTGTCTACTATTTGTTTCCTTTTGTATTTATTAGAGCCTAGAAGTTAACTCATAACTACTTCCTGAAGTTAACTCATAACTGCTTCCTGAGGGCTGAATACACGTGGTTATCAAGGAAAGACTTCACTACATAAGTAGTATAAGAAATTGTAGTGGATTCATCAGATGGAGAGTTAGACTTAAGGGTAATCTCTTAGTATATCTGCTTTTTAAATATAACTACTCCAAAAGCAAAAATTAAAAAAAAAAAATCAAGTCCCAGTTTACAACTTGCACACAACAGGAGCTCTACCTATGCTAATAACACAGGTCTAGCTTTTGTCAGGACAGAACCAACCACCATAGCTGTTTTAAATGCAGTTAACAGTGATTATACATGCAAACTTTTCATTGATATGATTACTAAGCTTTGTTCACTGGTTTATTATTGGGTTGTTGAAAAAATTATAATGCATTTTTGCATAGAAAAAAAAAATGTCATGACTTTTCTGACAAGCCAGTATTATATGGATGAGAAGTAGCTTGCTTGAGGTACTGAGTATCATTTTCTCCACTCAACATATGTAAACAGAAGCTCAGAGGATTCAGTGACTACTTCAAGGTAGAACATTCATGAGGAGGCAGGTTGTAGTGGTCACTGTACAGATTTGTATAAACCAGAAACTCTTAAATCCATAGCCAGCAAGTGTGTCAAAGATCTCTTAAAAATGACCTCAGAAACTGATATACACAGTCCTTTTCAACATAGTGCAAATGATCTGCTTCTCAGATCATTCTTATTATCATGACTGCTCTTAAGTTGGAGGTAAGATTTACATGCGCCTATACTTAGCTCATGAAGTCTCCTCCATACAGGTGACTGCCACAGAACAAATGCTAGAAGTATAAGACCAGACTCTGATCAATTCAAGTATCTGCTAAACACCTATTATGGGCTAAGTGTGGTAACAGACACTGTAGTCACGAAGCTGAACACAACTGAGTCCTTATTCGTCTATCGGGGACATGCGCGGCTAAATGAGTAAATGCAAGTGAGGGTAGTCTGCTGAAGGAGTTCACGCTGAGTGTTTGAGTGCTGATGGTTTCAGAAATGGTTGGTAGACAAGGGGAGCCAGAAAGGAATGACAGAACTACTTAATTTCCTAACATTATCAAATCAAGTCTAAAAATTAAATGACAGTGTATAATATAGGCAAATGGGAATTGAAGGAAAGAGGAATAAGACATTGATGAGATGATTTATTACTCACAGTTTTTTCAGAAATGATTCCTATGACTGTAAAGATCTGTCAACTTCTCTCCTAAGCGTCTTCTGGTAGATTTAAATTGTCTATCAACTGCCAATGTCTGCTCTATTACAGCTGCATTCATTTGTGTTTGTAAATCATGTCTTCCTCCTGCCAGTTGGTTTCCTAATTTTTCAGTTTCTAGAAACTTATAAACAGACAATGACAAAAGTAACTTGGTATCATATGATGGTTGATACATTAAAGGAATGCTGTCCTTGCTTAACCAAGATAAATTCCTATTCTTAATTATTCCTAACAGGAAACAAAGTTGCTATGTAATGTTTGAGTAAGCTTTAAAGGGTCACACTCAATAAATTTTCCCACAGTATTTATAGAAATGTGCATACAACACATTATTTCTTTTTATTTAGAGGGTGGTAAGTTACCCCATAAGAAAGCTACCTAACAGATTCTAATTCATAACGTGGCTACTACAAATTTTTAGGCACTTTTGAGGAAAAAATTAATCAGAAAGGAAGAAAAAGGTGAGTAAACACATAATGAACTCATTTTACAAAACAATTTATCAAGTGAAATATAATTGTCTCAAATTGCTACAAGGCCACAATATAAACCACGTGGGTCACCACTAGATGGTACTTAAGAAGTTATCAAAAAGGAAGAAAGATCATCATTTAAACCAAAAATTACAGTATCTTCATAGTGAAAGTTGGGCAAAGTGGTTTGGAAATTTTTAGAAAGGTTCACATAATAGAGTAATTCAGTAGCTCTGAATTACTTATGTAATTAGAGGTTGGTTTTATCTGTGAAAACCAAATACAGTATTAGGTATTAGAATGTAACCAGTAATTATAAGAGTCCTACACCCAAAGAAGATGCCTTTCTTGATGGCAAAATGAGAGAGAAATATAAACTAAAATTACACAGCATTGAAAGGGAGCCCATCATATTTCCCTGACTTAAATAAGCTGACAAGAATAAAACTGCTAAGATTTTATAAAACAAATGAACCATAATAATAGAGAAGATACAAGAATCTTCCAAAATACAAGAGTAAAATCTAGCCCTTTTTTTTAAACAGTTTACAAAAATGTTAGTTAAAAGAAAAAAATTCACAGCCAATAAGGGCTAACAAGTTAACCTGAAAATAATGGTTATTATGGAGACTTTAAAACATGTTTGCAAATTCTCAACATCTGTCCCTTCAAATGATGGGTCAGACTTAGTGGCTCGTTTAGAATAAAGAAAGTGCTACTGTGGGACTCCCATGAGCCAGAATACAGCTTCTCCCTGGTTGGCAAATGCTTCCTCAAGGGTGCCAGGTCTCATGACCCAGCCTACATGCTGCGAGGAAGCGGCTGGTGAGGCCATGGGTGGGTGTTCCGGCCTCTGTTGGACCGCCCCAGGTCACACCAGCATCCACCTGCCAGTCATATGAGAACATCAATAGCCAATCCCAGCATCTGACTTCCATCTTCTGACTCAAGACGCCACGCCTGCTCCGCACTCCGGATGCAAGAGCCATAGAAACAGCTCATGGGAGGTTACTGCTTTTTCAAGCCACTCATTCAGGGCTGACCCACCTGGCAGCAACAAGGTAACTAACACATTCACCTACAATGCACACACAAGAAAGTTTTTCAAACTGAAAAATGCAAACTTTACACAAATCTAGCCAGAGGACATAGCCTCCACCCCATTTACTAACTTGAGGATACTTTTATTCAAGCAATACAGCTAAGCTTCATTAACTTTAACTATTTTAAGACAGACTCTAAATCATGCATTTAGATTAAATATCATTCTGAAAGTAGCAATGGAAAGGAGAATTTAGTAAATTCACACATGAATACAGGAGAATACTGATGAGTAAACTGAGAGCCACTTGTGCTTAAGTGTTAGAAGGCGCAGCTCTCCAGGAGAAGGCACCTGAAACGAAATGTCAGGTGAACATCAGTCCCAATCATTTTTAACTTATTAATGAGCTTAAAATATTCTATTTGGGGCCCTTCCTGGTGGCACAGTGGGTTAAAGCACAGCACTAAGAAGCTAAAGCCACTTCAGCATGAGTTCGATCCTGCCCCGGAGGTGACCCACATGGCGCGGCAGACCTCTCTTGACCTGTTCACTGCTCCCCTCAGCAGTGTACTTTATTGATCTGCCTGTTCTGCTCCCCACTCTGTCTCTGGTGAATCCTCTCACTGCCCCTGCACCTCTGGCCTGTATCCCAATTCAGTATGCAAAATTAATAAATCTTTTTTAAAAAATATTCTATTTAAATAATTGGTCAGTTCAAGTAAATTATGAGTATGAGTACATCTGTATATTTTCTACTAGCAACAGGGGAGCTCCAGGAGGGCATTCCTGACCTTGCCCACCTCTGAATTCCCGAAAGGACATAAGCAGTGTGGGGGTCAGACACTGGGCTTAACAAAGACCTGCACAAGTGACCTGACAGGTGAACCTACTGCGAACACTGGTGTCTCCCAACTCACTTTTTCTTTTATTCTAACTTGTTCTGCCCCGCCCCACCCAGGTCCAAACCAGCTGGCGTTTTGTTCATTTCCAAGTGCCTACTGCACACTATATTATCTTTTGCCAGCTTATCCCCAGGAAAGATACAGACAAGTGCTTGCCTTGTGTGTCTGTGACTCTGGGGGGCTCCACGCCCCCCTCCTCAGGCCCTCAGTGCATGGGCTGCCCTGGGGGGCTCCACGCCCCCCTCCTCAGGCCCTCAGTGCATGGGCTGCCCAGCAGCTCACAGCAGAGAAGACTCCTCTGAAGGTTTCTGGTCCGTGACAGGCAGAGATGTCCTGAAAGGCTGTAAAGGACCATCTGGAGAGAATAGAGACAGCTAACCTTAGTTATCCCTCCCATCCAGGGAGATGCCTGATGGCACTGTGGCACCGGTGTTGACTTATACCTTTCAGTGACTGACAATTTTGAAATGTCCACTGATAATTTGAAATTAAGCAGTTTGAGAATTAAATAATCTTGTCCACACAGACTCACATTTCATTACTGCTGTTAAGACCCTCTTTCCCGTGTCAACATGAGCATGGAACTTGCAGCGAGGCGCTGCACCTCCGTCCACACAGGCCGCCAGCCTGTGTGCAGCCCCAGACAAGCACTGGCCGCTGGCTTACCCACCCTTGGCGTGCTCAGGAACACCTGTTACAACCTACCTTCTACGTAAGGAGGCTTAAGATTTCTGTGACAACATTCTACTGAGGCCACTAAAAACACATAAGGCAAAATATGGAAGGTTTTATTAGATTAGCTATTTTCTCATATTTCATGATTTTTATAATTTAACCAAAATGAAGATTACATAAGATCAGGACTACAAATCTAGTAGTTACATAAAGTGATTTAAAGTAGTAAAGCTAGTCACAATAATAAACCCATTCATCCAGATTCTTTAATTATATTAGGAAATAATAATTATAAAAATAGGTAAAATTCCATGAAAATATTCCTATTTATTCTAGCTTAGGAGTTCTTGCCCACGTCAACGGACTGCCTGGCGTCGGCGATGGCTTCGGGCACACGCACGGTCATATTGTCCATGGACTTTGTCAAGCAGATTTGGCAGCCCAACCGGGACCTGTGCAAACAGGGAGGCGGGGCTTAGTGTTACGTACACAGACAGGACAGAACGGTCACCAGGCCACACAGCTGTTCCCGACAGCTTCTTACCCAGAGCCCTTAGGGACTCATTGGCCTTTTAACTTTTCAGGGGTTTGAAAAAGGAAACATCCAACTCTCACCTAGAGGGTAACAAACATCCATATGGAAAACAAAAAGCGTAGGATGCCAAAGCTTCATTTGAGGTTATAATTTCTATCCTCTAGCAACTGTTTCAGCAGTACAACTGCTGACAAGTAATGAGATATTCAGAAGGCACAACCGTGGAAATACTAGTAGAATTATTACCAGTTCTATTACTTTATATTTTTCCTTTTCAATGATGATACACAAATCTACGTCTAGATATGTCTAAATAGCTCTTCAGATATGTACAAAACAAGTGAAAATTTTGCACATTATAATTAACAGTGCTTGTTGGTCAATCAAAATGTTTGATTTGATGTAAGTCATACCCAGATCATGGTTTCATTAACAAATTCTCAGGTATTGAGCACCTGAAGGCACAGAACTAGCCATCGGGGGTGTTCAAGGAAGAGGACTCACTACAGGCCTTGCTGCAGACCTGTTTTGGTGCCAGGCGTGCGGCAGGGAGCAAGCCACACAGACAGCTGGGCAGCGGTGACTGCAGACCCATTTGTGACCCACCTAGCTAGCTTCTTATCCTTGCCCTAGCAGGCTGGTCCTCACAGGACAGCTGAGGGTCAGCAGCTAGTATCAATAGTAAAAGGAAAACTTTCAATCAAGTAGGAGAGGTAAGACATGGGAGATTGTGACAAGGAGAAATCCAAAAGCTTCAAGGAGAAAACACTCTGGCCAAAGGAGATGGGGATCAGAACAGGTTTGGAAGGGTTTAGTGTGTAGTGTGTAGTAAAAAGTACAGGAGAAAGGCACTTAGACAATGCTAGGAGGGATTCGAGGCATATTTGAGGCAACGTGGGCTTGTGCTCGGCGACTGCACAGGGCAGGCAAGGCCAGAAGGACGGGCTAGAAGGAGGTCAGGACTCAGCCAGCCTTCAGCGCCGTGGAGGATTTAGGTTTCAGTTAGTGAGCCATGAGCACTGCTGAGTAAGGGAGTAAGATAACCACAGGAAACACTGGTTGCCAACAGGAAAAACTCCCCGTTCACTAGTAGTTCCTATTTGGTGAATCAGAAACAACTTTGTTGATAATACTTATGCATTTGGTTCTGTCTGCAAGGAATAAAATGAGTCAGGGCAATTTAGACGAATTTATTAGGACCCAGGTGAGCTCTGGTGAGACTGCTAGTTACACTAGTGTTTACATAAAATGAAATATAAGGCAAGTCTTCAAGAAACTTAATTCAGAGAAACAGCTACCAAAGAAACAGGGCAGGCACAGGGAGTGAGTATTATGGGAACACCGAGGGGCTGTTGTACATCAACATTTTTCTGATTCTGTCACCTTAGATGGTAAGGCAGGGATGCTCTGTGACTCTTGTCTTCCTCTCCTACTCCTGCCTCCTCCTTAAAGGTCTCTGGCTCTAAGTCTGCCAGTGTAGAAAGGCAGCAGACAAAGGCAGGCAGCCTCAACTTCGTTACTAGTCCCACAGAATTCTGACAGTTGTGCAAAGCCGGATGGTATTTTCTTCAATCACCCCTGCCGTATGTACCGACAGTGGAAATGCGCTGGGGGTTGTGTTAACTTGTACTTCTAAGGTTTGGTTTTCAATGCAGCTTCAAATAGTAAGTATACCATAACTGATTCAAACCAGGGCTCTGTCATTCTCTAGCTCTGTGGTCATGAGCAAATAATCTCTGAAAAGTGAACCTTGCTTTCCCACCATAAAATGTTGCTAATACTCCCTTCACCCTGAAGGTTAGAAATAAGCTTTGTTAAGTGCCTCGTTTATAGTGAAGACCAGCATATGAATTGACATTATTATAGCTCTTATTCTAATAACCACCATTTAATTAATACGTCCTTCACCAAACACTACTCTAAGAGCTTCACATATATTAATTCATTGACTCCAGACAACAATCCTAGACTGTCACCATCCTTTTCTTACAAATGCAGAAACTGAGGCTCCTGTATAGATAATCCATGGAACCTGACAGCAGGGAGCGATAGCAATCATCCAAAAGTCACAGGAAATTGCAGAATCTATCGCCCAGAAGTCCCATGTCGAGGGGGGAAGCCTCCTTTGAGCCAGGCACTGGAGCTACGCAGATGAGGCGAGACGGGGGCCTGCCCTGTGGGTGCAGGAGGCAGTGGCTGCCCGCGAGCCCTGTAGTACCACTCCATCAACACCCAGGCGGACTACGCCCTCCAGTAAACACTTAAATCGTGGTGTTTACTTGAACGTTAGACACACACATAGCTCTTAAAATAAATTTATGAGCTATATATGAATGAAATTCCTTCTTCTTTGTTTTTGGATCCTATGGTATCCTAGAGATAGGAGTTTATGAAGTTATTAGCTTTGAACAAAATTATTTATGTTGGTGTTTTATAATGCTACCTGTGAAAAGCATTACACTCTTTCCACACAAAACACTCTAAAAATACTCTAATACTTAAGAAAACCCATGATAAAATGCTGTAAGTTATTCCACGTTCTCCATAATCTGCTTCAAAACTTAAGAACTTTATTATCAATAAAATTAATGGCTAATCTGTATTTATTCTGTATTTATAATAGACCTTCTGTAACTTTTTACATTTATGTGCTTCTGCTGACTAAAGTTTTCTATTCCTAAGTTTTTTCTTTTCATTTACAACATTATAAGCGTCTACGAATTTTACCTGAGTAAAGGGTAAGCACTGCTATGATTAAGAGACAGAAGACTCTGGGAACCCAATCAATACAACCAGGATGTGCAGACTGTGCTTTACCCTCTAGGGAAAGGAAGGAGGCACAGACTGGCAGCAAGCAGCCAGAGGCGAGAGAGGCAGGCAGACAGCAGCCAGAATCTGTTCTGCGGCAGCCTAAAGGGGCGTTATCCTCCCAATTTCTCTTCCCAGGGCAGAAGTCTCAGCTTCACCAAGAGGGAAATGAACAAATGAAGCAAAATGATTTTTGAACTTTAAATGAAAACCAACAACCTGAATTTTTTTGTAAAGACTAGTTGTGCTACTTTACAGTAAAGCTCTTATTTTAATTTTTTTTAGTTATTTTTTATGAAAGTCACCAAGTCAATTGACTGAAGCCAATTTTAATTAAGCCCTCATCTTGGCCCTTAAGCAGTAAATCAAGTGTATCTTCCCTAATTCCAACCAAAAGAGAAAAATTTATAAAAATAATATATCACCCCAGGAGCACAAGGATGGTTCAACATCAGAAAATCAGTTAACCGACAGAAGAATAAAAACCACATAATCATATCAGTAGATGCGGAGAAGGCTTTCAACAAAGTTCAACACCCATTTATGTTTAAGGCCCTTGAAATCCTCGGAATAGAAGGAACATACCTCAACATGATAAAAGCCATATATGATAAACCCACAGCCAATATTATCCTCAACGGAGAAAAGCTGAAAGCCTTTCCTTTGAGATCAGGAACAAGACAA